CGCTCAAAGAAATAGGGGAAGAAAATAAACGAGGGACAGTCGAGGGCCGCGCACTCACCGGCCTTGAGCGAAATCCCCACAAACAAAAAGAGGGACAACCGAGGACCGCGCACTCGCCGGCCTCGAGCGAAATCCCCACAAATGAAAAGAGGGACAGCCGAGGACCGCGCACTCGCCATCCTCGAGCGATAAAAATAAGATCCCCCCAAAATTTGACTAAGTACATATCAGTTGAAATATAAGGCTAACACTACGCAACATGGACGAAGCAAGCCCTTGTGCGGCAGCTAGACCACCCTCAGGATCATTAAAAATGATCCCCTATCCAAGCCTGGTGCTAGAAAATTATTGGACGAAGCATGCGCGCACAGGCTACTCCAAAACACTTGGAAAAATTCCCAAGTGGCGCCTAGAGTGGCCGATGAAGGTCACAGGTAGATAACACGGACTTGAAGAATTTGAGGGGATGCCCTCACTTTGGCCGAACAAGGGTGGACACCCTTATCGGCCACAAGAAGGGAAACAACTACCTGGACTCAACTAACACTTAGAAAGATTTCAAAGATTGACATAGCAAAAACAATACAAGAACAAGAAAGACGAAACATGCGCTAAAGATGAAGAAGCCAACCTAATATTTGCATTCAATATATTTAGTACAAAAGGGGGGCACAACGGCCATTACATATCAAGCAATAGAAATAAAAGAAACAGCGGATCAGCTCTCCTTGTCAGCCTCATTGGCAGCCTTTTCGGAATCGGCTTGGTCAACCTCCCCCACTTCGACATCTTCACCGGCTCCGGATGTGGAGGCGGCAGTATCCGCCAAGACGTCATCGCCGGTCCACTCCTCCTCACCGATGGAAGAACTCAACACAGGAGCCTGCCTCTTAGAGGGAGGAAGCTTTATCTCCTCCTCAGGGTCCTTCATATTTCGAGGAAGCTTCAGGGTCCTGGCCCACTTTCAGGTGAGCTTCATGGCCTTAAAACTACGGCACAGCCTCCGGTAAATGAGCTTTTGCATCCGCTGCTGGCCCATGTCATAGTACACCTTCATTTCCCTCTCGAAGTACTTTTGGCTTTAAGGACTGTGCTGACCCCAATCTTCAAGCCTGGCCGCCACGACCTCAAAACACCAAGTCCGGCGCTCCTCAGCTTTCCAGCTGACGGCCAAGAACTTCTCAATGGCAGCGTCGACAGCTTTTTTTGCAGCAGCCTCAGCAGCCTGCTCGGCCTCAGCTCTAGCCTTCTTGGCCTCAACAGCGCGGCAACGAGCAGCCTCACACGCTTCCTTCTCCTCGGCCAACTTTTTGAGGGCGTCATCCCTATCTGCAGTCAGCTGGCGAGTGGCCGCATCGACATCATCCGTTTTCTTTTTCAGGGCCTCCACATCGCCCCGTAGCCGATCCAGGATGCTTAAGGCCTCATCGGCCGAAGCAGCCTTCTGCTCAATCTCCCTCAGCCGAGCTATCTCCCGTTGCTGTCTCTTATTGCTCTCCATAAGCATGAAGGCAGCCTGCAAACAATAAAATGGTTAGGGCGGTGGTTACACCTGCAAGCAAGTAAATCAAGCAAATAACAAAGTACGTAGCCAACTCACCTGGACGAGGTGGTCCATTCCACCGTCATAGATCTTGACGTTGCCAAGACCATTGAGATAAGACCGGTCTTCATCTGGGACAGCCTGGGAGATCACCTCGTGGCCGTCAATAATTTTGTTGAACACACCTCCCTTGACGGGGTATTCAACCTCCAGCTTGTAGGTCTCTCTGACAAAATCCTTGTCGGACCTCTTCTTCCGGGAGTCTTGGATGATAGGGGGAGGCTAAGAGACAGCAGTGGACGAAGGATCAGAAGTCAGGTCCACTATAACGGCAGCACTGGAACCTCCAACGTCTTCAGCTAGAACAGTCAGGTACCCAGCATCAGCATTGGCCAAGGGAGAAGTCCTCTTCGACTTCTTGGAGGGCTAAAAACCAGCCTCCGTCAGCTTCTTCTGGCCGTCATCCACCGGCCGCTTCTTCTTCGGCTGGGTGGGCGGCTTCTTCAGATGGTCGGAGCTCAGCTGTGCTCCACTCGCCGCGGCCAGCTTTGCAACATTCTTGGTGGCCTGTTCCGCGGCCACTTTCGCCATAGCCCTATTCATAACGGATCTGCGGTCCATGACAAAGTCTGCATAGCAAATTAAAGGAAACAAACAACATTAGCAAAGCAAGGAAACAAAACGGGAACAAGGACGCTGAGGAGGGCATTACCATCAGCTTCGGTGGGCACGCCCAAATCCGGGCCATCGGCCTCCTCGAACGTCGTCGTCATCCTCGGCCAAATGTCTTTATCGTCCCCTGCATCCCCATACACGAAGTACCACACGAAGCCGAGGGCGGCCATTTTATACTCGGTGATATACTCTTTCACACTCCTTAGCCCATCCTTGAGGAATGCCTCCACCTGAGCATCCAGGAGCGCACTCCTCGGCACATCATGGAGGTTGAACCTCCCGGTATGACCGATGGAAAGAAACTCGGTCCCTCCTTTTCCCAGCGACACATAAACAAACTTGTTCTTCCAACCATGGATGGACGAAGGAAGGTCGGTAAAAGACCTCCTATTCTTTACCTGCTGGAGGGTGGCATAGCTCGCACAGTTTTGGTGGCTGCCTCGGTCTATCTGGTACATGTTCATGAACAGGCCGTCTTCGGCGTGATACCAACCTCGAAATAACGAAGCAAGAACTCGATGATCAGGGAGTAGCTGTTCGGGGTCAGCAAGGCCCGGGGAAGCTCCGCCATGTCCAGATACTCCGTGAACGGATGAAGGGGGAACCTCAACCCCTTGGCAAAGCTCATGGGATACACTCCGAAATACCCGGTCGGAGAATTAAGCACATGATCCATCAGCTTAGGCGCCCTAACCCTATCGAACGACCCCACATACATCTGGGCGACCAAGTATTCAGCCGCATTACTCTACGGCCTGATAATATAGATGTTGGTAAGATCCAAGTACGAGAAGCCTGGACCTTTCTTCGGCCGACGCCTCCTCTTCGGCGGAGATTTCCCTTTGACAGTAGAAAGGGGACTGGGGCACGAAATGGTGGCCGACGTGGACGCCACGTCCACCGCATGTGATACTCCAACATCCTCACCCTCAGACGACGAGGCGGCTTCCTCATCCGCAGTTTCCTCGTCCCTCTGCTCCACAGATCTGAAGGGACTCAACTCCTCAATCTCCTCGCAGCACTCTTCAACTACCCCGTAATCAAGGGACTTAGCCGAGGCTTCATCGTTATACGGGTAGTACTCGTCATCCTGTGGTTTCACCATAACAACTACCTAAGGCCTAAGGGGGATTATATGGGATCTAAGTGTAGCTCGTTGACTAACACTAGATCAAAGCCTAAGGAAGCAAAATATACAAGAAAACGAAGAAAGGTTGATGAACTGACCTTTGAAGTTTTGAAGAAACTGAATAACACTCGAGCAAGCCTTTCTATCTCTAGAAAATTGGGCAGCACTTCGTTAGCTCAAGATGCAAATGGGTGACTTCCTTCGGGGGGGGGGGGGGGGGGGGGGGTATTTATAGACCTCCCCCCAACGGTCACTACACGTGGCATCCTCCTAGTGGCCACATGAACGGCCACCACCCCAGGGCCTAATAAGGTGCCACCGGTTCAAAAGATGGTCCAGGACCACTTCCAGCACTATCAGCCCACGTCCAATGTACCATCAAGTAGCACCTATAACGGCCAAAGCTTTCAGCAGCCACACTAAGGGAAGGTATGGCCCTTCATGTCCACAGATCACGCTTGCATCGGCCCTAGTAGCCAACAATTACTTCAACGGCTATCCCCATTTCAGAACGCCACCTCGGCATCAAAGCCCCCCCCAAGGTGGGCCCGTATCGGCCTGACATGTTACCCATAGCGAGGCTCTTTCAACGGCCACAAGAGGAAAGTGGAGCACAACCCAAATAGCCATCGGCCCTCGTACAAAAACCCACTGTTGATAACCTCTTGAAAGCGACCTGCGTCCAAGGGTTCTCCCACAGGGTTACCTTGGTCAGGAATCGCCAAGGGGTTGGATTCAGGGGAAATACGAGGACCCCGCTTCGGCCTGAGGTTTACTCTACTCCTTCACCCCTCATTCCTCCTTCGGTCTGAAGCAGTGGGGGACTGGGGGACTACACCGGCCTCCAAACGCAAGGATGAAACTGAAAATCCAAAAACGCACAAGTATACAACTACAACAACACCCACTACTACATTTTTGGGTCTTTTGTAACAGCAGAATTCATTACATTTGGTCCAAAAAACTGTTACATTCAACTTATTGTAATAGTTTCTCGTCGTTACATTCGCTCGCGTTGCATTTGCTCTAATGTAACGACTTGTAACGAAATTTATGACCAAATGTAATGGACCTCACGAGATGTCATAAATGTTACAACTGATCGAGTACAAATGTAACAGTATGTAACATACACAGAGGTAACAGTTTTGAATAAATGTTGGCATTGATTAATTGTGTAATGTAACGGTTTTATATTTGCACACATGCAGCCAGGATGTTTTTACACACCTATAGCAATGAATGTAACTAGCTGCCCATTTAATTATAATTACATACAAAAGTGAAACAAATGTTGGCCCCAACATCAAATCCATTACATTATAAACCAAGCAACTTAAGTTGTACAAAAGCATTCAAAAGCATGCAAATTAAAGTAGCCAAGTTAAAAGCTTTTTAACAAAGACATGAGTTTGATAAGTAGCAAAATGTTGAACATCATGTTCACAAAGAAAAAGATTGTTTATCACTACTACTAGCTAGGAGAAGCTCAAGTGACAAATCATGGGTATGCATCATTCATCATTTGATTCCATTCCATCTTCATCTTCATGTGATGAATCCCTCACCCGCAAACAAACATTTCAAATAATTAAGCATCCATGTTATTTATTTATATATAATCAGTTCAATTGGTTTTTAGAGTAAGACTCATCTAAATATTGTTTTGAAAAAGAAATCAATATTATACTGCAATTATTTATATTTGAGCAACTGAGTATGAGAACTCATATTCACATCTAAGCTAGAGCGTATAATGTTAAATGTGTTATAAGTAATTAACGGGAACGGATCTGCGATTACTGAAGCTTTATGCCGACAGTTCATTTCCCATATCCCAAATTCCAATTTCTCTAAGCTAAAACCCTGGCAAATATCTTCATTGTATATTCCAATCCCGATTTCTGAACGCCTTTCAATATGGTTGTCTATAAATGCCGGAAGGCAACTAAGTTGTACTGCTTCGTACACAAGGTTCCAGTCTGTAGAGAATGCATATGCTTCACTGATCATCAAATATGCGTGGTCCGCACCTATTCAGAATGGGTCTAGATGGAGGGTATGACTGGCCTCCAAATTGTTGTTCCTGTGCTGCTGTGCTTGAAGATAAAACAGATGCTCAAACTACTCGATTGGGCTGCCTGCATGTTATTCATACAAATTGCTTGGTTTCACATATTAAAGGCTTTCCACCACAAACTGCTCCAGCTGGGTATGTCTGTCCGGCCTGTTTAACTTAAATATGGCCTCCTAAACATTTCAACGATTCAGGATCGCGTCTTCATTTAAAACTGAAAGAAGCAAAAGTGCAGACTGGCTTGGAAAAGAATCTGTTTGGAAATTGCATCCGACAGATTCTCGAAATCCTCCACCCGCTTTCGCTTCAGATCCATTAAAGCATTTTTGTGAAGCTAGAGCCTCTGGGATAGATATAGCACCTGGCATGGAGGCTGCTGAAATAGCTGAAACTGGTTCCTTAAAGCCTTCAGCTCTTGTTTTTTTTTTTTACAAAATTCTGAAAATCATGAGCCAGGGGCCACCACGAGAAAGAGCTCAATTGCTTCTACACTGCTCTATTAAGATAAAAGTAATAACAGTTGTGCCCACTCTTCTTGTTTACCATTTATGTATGCATTTTAAGAAATAATTTTAATGAGGCTCAGTTTGCTGTCAGTTACAGAGAATAGATATAAATTTGATGTATGAGATTAAATTGTATAGCAAATATTTATTATTATTATTATTATTATTATTATTTAAATCCTCTCACCCCTGCCCCTGCTCCTTACTTGCTTGCAATGCTATACACTGTAGTCTTGAGCAGATGTATAATGAAACTCTCTCTGTCTTTATGTACAAGAAATGATGAAAAGATGTGTCGTAACTGGTTTGGGAATGCCTTGAAAAAAAATTTATAAGTAATTAACACACAAATAACAACGAACTAACAAGCATACTTTTTGTCAATCAAAGTTCCTAAGAACAAATAAAAATTTGAGCACATGATATGGGAACGATCTCAAATGTAGGAGAGGGGTGCAATACGCGATAAGAACGATAAGAACAAGATGAACTGAAGAGAAATCGAAGAGAAACTTCTGATGACCCTCGCTAAATAAACACCATCCAGCCAACAAATTACAATTTAGGGATTAAGCAGAAAGCTTCCGCGATAATGAAGAGTACCCCTTAGCAAAAAATTGATATTCAATCTAAACAACATATTGAAAATCGTAGCAACGAAGAATAAAATATTAAATGAATAAGTACTTACCGAAACCACCAGGAAAAGTCAAAAAACACCACAGAAAATGCAAGTAACTACGAACCTGGAAAAAAATTGCAGACCCTAAAACAAAACAAAGAACCATATGGAGTATTAGTGGTGTGAAGTCACCTGTTTCGACCAAAACAAACCCACCTCAGTATATACTAGAAGAAGTGATTTTCAGACCGAGAATGAGAGATCTGGCGGTACCGCATTACTCTACACAAGAGAACGGATGATGGACGGCATCCTAGAAATACATTCAACTATACCTTTTATTTTCCATATTAATTTAACCAGGACAGAAATTAAAAGATGAGTACAATTTGAAACACTTAACGTAATGGAAAATAGTACTAAAAGATGGGAAATTAAAACCTGGTGCTTAGCCCCATGGTTTTTACTACAACCGACTGAACTACAATCCACTCCATCAAACATGAGTATAGTATGAATTCAAAGATGAATGAAACACATAGATCATGAGTACAATGAAACCCACCTCGTGTGCGGCTCAGCGTGCGATGTGCGGCTCATCGGAGGGAATGGGAAATTAGCTCTGTGCGATGTGCGGCTCAGCTTGCGATGTACGGGTTACCGGGGGAATGGGAAATCAGCTCTGCGATGTGCGGCTCACCGGAAGAATACCAACCGACTCTGCGCTTAGCTCTCTGAGATTCCTTACTGTGGCAGCTTAGCTCTCTGCGGAAGAAATGTGATGTTCCTTAGGATTTTGTTTTGATTTGGTTTTGATCCGGTAATTAGACTGTATGATTTCGCGGGATGTTGTTTGCCCTTAACATATTTTAGTTTGGCGGGACATGCGAATTTTATTTATGTAAAGTATTACTTTAGGTTTTAGCCTACCAAAAGTCTAACATTTTAAGCGGACGTCCGTATAGATATATCACAAAAAATAGTGTTACATTAGAATCACACTAAATGAAATAGTATGTAACAGTAGTTACGCAAATGAATCAAATGATATATAACCATTAAAATAGATGAAACCAAATGTAATAGTATGTAACAGTAGTTACGCAAATGAACTAAATGATATATAACAATTACAATAGATGAACTTAATGTAACACTTTTACTAAATGTTACAAATATAACGTTACATTAGGCCCGAAAATGTAGTAGTGACCGTATGATCTATGCACCATAACGTCCAGGACCTGGTGGTGCACCCTCGACCGCAACAAAGTAAGCAAACAAAGAAGCAAACCCCACCTCCCAGAATGTGACACGTGTCGTCCCTCGACGCGTGCCGCTCTACGGCCTTGGGGTCACGTACTCCACTCTCGGCCAAGATAAGAAAACCAAGGACACACAACGTCCTCTGGCCCAGTGCCATCATCGTCCACAAAACCAAGGACACATAACGTCCTCCGGCCCAGTGTCGTTATCATCCTCAAAGCCATGGACGCCAAACTACGAATATTATCGCTTCGATCTGGAACACTAAAAGCAACCACGGGGCCTCCTCAGCCAAAAACACAAAAGACAACCACCAACGGCCAAAGAGAAGAAGCATCACCCTCATCGGCTACTCAAATCAAAGATGCATATCGACCATTGAGCCAGGACACTCATCGTCCTCAAACAAACAAACGCACACCATCAGAGGAACAATAACCTTCTTCGTCCACAGCGAAGGGCATACAATGGCCAAACACAAAGAATAACCACAACGCCCCCATGCCGGCAAAAAACGTCAAAATTGCAGGAATACTCTTCCTCACTTCGTCTACATCTTAGCTCAGAGAGTGGGGGACTCCTGATGGAGTATATGTGTCTAGACCCCAGGACCCACATACTCAGAAGAATAAGAGGCACAGTTGTCACTCAGTGGGACCTCCGTTGGCCAGATGGCCCTCCATCGGCCAGAAAGACATCAACTCAGAACATGATCCAGAAGTCATGAGAACTAGGTGTATCCGTCGGCCGTGGCTCCGTCGGCCAGACCCCCGTCGGCCACAGAGAGCTCACAGAACCGGATTTCATACTTGGTCATTTCTACATACTTTGTACTCGGCCCAGTAGTGACCCCATTGTAAATGGGTCTCCCAAGCCTAAGACTTGGGAGCCTAGCACACATTTCCTCTATAAATACTCCTCTTGGGAGTAGTTGTAGGGGTTGACAAAATTCATTTATTGCAGAACTTATTGCACTTCTCTCTCTAGCTCTCACATCTGTCTAGAATATATACTCTATCAGTTGCATTGGGCTGTGTTGGAATTAGTTCATTCAAACTTGTTATTTGTCATTTCATTAAAATTTAGAAACTTTAATAAATTTCTACATTTGATTAAAATGGTCGAATTTGAATAGGTGAAATAGAAAAAGAGAAGACAGAATTACTTTTATTATGCATTTTCATATAAAGAGATATTTTTTATAGAATATATAGTTGCATGATCGACTATTGCCCCAAGGTATTGAGATACACAAGACCAGTCCTTTATGTTAGAAACTAGTGTAACACCCGGGGCATGCCCCGTAGTGCCACTTTGATAAATACTACATCCGTCTCATTTTATATGTCATGTTTTGGTTTGACTCAATTATAAATAAAGTGGTTGAAAAGGTAAAAGTTGTAGTCGAGATTAAGTATAATAAAGTGAAATGGTATAGATCATATATTTATTTTCAAAAATGAAACGTGACACTTGTTTTGGGACAACCCAAAAAGAAAAATAGCACATGTAAAATGGGACAGACGAAGTATTAAACAATAAAAAACAATAGAGACTAAGAATTCTTATGGAATGAGGTAATGCTATGATGTTAATCAAAACGATTTAATATGTATGCTAATATTTTGTTGAGGTATGAGAATGAATATTCAAAAGCATTAATGTGCATTAGTCATTGTGGGTTTGAAAACGAATGAAAATATTAGGGCCTGTTTACTAACAGAAATATTTTTCTGTTTTCATTTTCTGTTTTCAAATCTCCAGTTTTTTGTTTTCGTTTTCAAGTTTTTTGTTTTCCAAATCAGAAAACATGTTTACCCAAGTTTTCCAATTTTCCATTTCATTTTTACCAGATAATGTTGACTTAATATTTGGAAAAGAAATGCACAATTACAAACATTTTGAATAACACAAAAAATTAACATAAATGTTCCCCAACACTGAAAGTTCAATAAGTGACATTATGTTAATCAAAACAACAGTCGTACTTCGACATCTCATACATTATAATCATCCCATATTGCATTTGCAATACTTTCTCGAATTTCGTGCATTTGTTATTGTTGAGACATATCAAATTCAAGCGATTCATTTTCACTTGTACTTGCCTCCGTGTGAAAAAACATATCCTCTTCCTCGTACTCCAAGAACAAACGGTCGTTCCTATCCTGCATGCAAATGAAGTTATGCAATGCGCAACAAGCTATGAGAATTTGAACCTGTCTTCTGAATGGGTAACCACGTGATATGTCTAAAATGGGAAATCTTTCCTTTAGTACTCCGAAACACCTCTCAATCACATTACGCAAGGACGAGTGTCGGTAGTTAAATAAAGCTTGCTTATTGCGTATTTGTCCTCAGCCTCGAAAATCATTTAAGTGATAACTCTCTCCACGGTATGGGGCTAAAAAGCCCGGAACATTTGGATAGCCGACATCAACAACATAGTAATAACCTATAAGGAAGTCAATAACAAATGCAATGGGAACATATTTTTGTAAAATAGTGCCTTGATTAAGAATAAAGTCTCTTTTTCATCACGCCATATGGCATCATCCTTTTCGTCTTGAGTTAAACTCATCTACCACAAAGAATTGGGACACTCACTTGAATAATACCAAAAAATGAATTAAAAAGATCGTAGTTGGGAAAAATCCATATACAATTTTTCAGTGCTTGATATATTCAGATATGATTCTAAGAAACAATTTGCATATAGTTAATAGTGAATATAGGACTGTATGGTATCAGTAAAATTGAAAGCGGTCATGGTGTAATATGAACTAATAAAATCCAATTAAAAAAATTACTGAAAGTAGTTAGAACGGCATATCTTTCACTTGGAGGAGATAAACAGATCCTGTAATAAGTCTTCAAATACACATTGAAGAAAAGTAATCGATGTATCACTCAAAGTTTTCAAAGAAGTCTTCAAATTTTAACAAATCCTAGTTAAAATTGTCTTCAAAGTGAAAGATACAGATCTGAACTAAACAATCCTAAACAGATCACTTTGAGTTCAAATGAAAGTCTTCAAAGTTTCATTTTTGAAACACACATTACAAGTACAAACAGATCCTAGCAACATAAAATTGAGTTTTAAGCAAAAGTTATTATGCATCACAGATATAGAATAAGTTGATTCCACAAATATAAAAGTGAAACAAAGAATTGTTTGATGATTTTATCGTACAAACTAGGGGTCTCAAACATAATCTAATATGGTTCTTCTTTAATTTCCTTCAATGTTTCCAGGGGTCTCAAACATGGACTAGTAGTTTTTCTAAAGAAGAAGA